TTTATGTTTGGTAGCGCAGGAGCTCTCTTTCCTGGTATAGCAAGACTGCACTGAAAGTTGTGGCAGTCGTATTGCTTTGGGGTGATTCCTACTACATTGTAAGTAACACAACTGCGTTACTTATTAACTATATTTGTGAATTAATTGGCCAAATGTTTTTTTGGTTACCTCTTCTCTATCTTCACCAGCTAAATATCTTTCCTCCTCTAGTTTTACTCCCTCCTCTTCCATACTTGATATTCCTGTACTCCAATATCTATGGTATATTGGTATAATAATGGAATAACAGACCCGTACCACTAATCAAGTTTTCACATGGTCAAAATGGAGGACGACATTGAAGAACATGCCGAATGGATCCAATTATTTGCGTGGACGGAAGCTACGCATGCGCAATACTGACTTTATTGTACTTCAAATAAAATAATTATAATGTTGATAAATCAAGCAATAAAATAAAAACCAGTTGAAACATAAACAATTGCTTGCTCAACAACTCTTTTGCTCTCAGTTTACTCTGTTTAGTCTACAAGGAATAAGCAATACTAATAATAAATGTAAAAAAGTACTTCACATTATTGTTTACAAAGAATTTTATAGCCTATTTTCATCTCTAAAAATAACTGGCTAGGAATGTCATTCTACAGAAACAAAAATAATTTTATACAGCAAAAATAGTTATTACTGACCTGGAAATATAATGGTGTAAGATGAAGTAGTGTCAAGTGAAATGTTATCTGGTTAAAAGAAAAAAATTAATTCAAAAATAAACCTTGATTGCAAATGCTGTATAGTGGCCCAAAATTTTTGCTAAATTTTCAGATTTAAAAAAAAGCAGAAATTGAATACTTAAAAATTAGAACAGACATGCATTAAAAGGCATTGTGATTCCGTAAAAACAGAATGTGTAAATGTAAATTTTATGGCAAATAATTCACAAAAATTTTGGGCCACAGAAATGTCAAGCTACAAGGTACACATATGCCACAATTAACACTATTTTTTGCTGTGGTGATGCCACTTGCTTACCGTGTATTTAATTGAGTTATATTCAACATTCTTTTCATACATTGTAAGTACTATAACACCTTTTCTGAATGTATTCCCTAAAATTAAAAAAATTCAAGTAATCATAAGGAATGATGTACATGTATTACTAATGTTATTAACAATAAATGTCACTAATGAGTCAGTATAACTTACATCGCAATTACTTTACATTTAAAACCAACTGCACAACTAGTATAGTCCAGGGAAGATTTCGTTCAGCCACATATACGTATTTACAACCCTTTAACCAGAGGGTTAAGCAATACAAATAAATTTCATAATGTATAGCAAGAAATTTTCATGGCCCAACAATTTCACAAATTCATCCAAAAATCCTTAATTTTCACAATTTTCTGCCTTTTGGCCATGTCAAAATGCATTAAATTTATTTTTGCCAATTTTATTTTCGTGAATTATTTTAAATAAATTGCAAAATTCATAATAATTTTGAGCCATGAAGGATTCTAGCTATACGATACCAATTTTGAACAACATACTCAACAGCTCAACACCCATCTCCAATATTCTATTTAGAATAAGATCATTAATGATCACAATTCTTCCTAATTTTAAAATACTACTAATGTAATCAAGTGTAACGTGACTTTGGAAACCTAAAGAAATAATTAAAATAAATAATAACAATAGAACACAAAATAATCCTACAAACATCTCCATGGAAATACAGCATCCAGAGTTTGGTCCACGACAATGAACAATAACTGATTTAGCTTTTTGTGACATTCGAAACTACAAAACTAAAAAAGAAAGAAAATGGTTTGAGAATGCAAAAGTACTGTAGAAGAGGAATATATCACCACTTTATTTATTTAATGCATGAATAAAAAATTTACGAGCATAAAAACCATACTATACTGAATCCAAAAATAACTATAATTATATACAGCTTACACCTCAAAATAGTACCTACTTGAGCAGTTGAGCTCTTACTACAAGTGTAAGCAAAAACTCGTGAGCAGCCTCTTGTGCTCCAATTTGCCAGCAAGGTAAAATGCCTATCAAAATAATTACCTTATAGAGGGAAACTTTTGAAGGGTGAAAATTTTCGCATTATTCAAATTGAGAAAGATTGTGCAAAAATTTAAATATTCGAAAAATTTAAATTTTGGCAGGCGTGGACAACCACGTCTATTATTGCATGTTGCCCATAAAAATGGCTTTTTTCTGTTACTTTAAGTGATCTCAAGTGTGATAGTGCTGGTACAGTCCTCCATGACCCCAAGGGACCCCTGTCAGCCTCCACAGTAAAGCTGGTACGTCTTTCATCTTATTTCCCTTGAGCATACAAATTCACGTGTGAAGGGTGGGGTCAAAAACCACGCACATATGTGCACTTGTATGAAATTTTTAATTTCTAAATTTTATTCTAAAGCCCATTTCAATTTTTTTCGAAAATTTGCACTTTCAAATATTTCCCTCTATACAGTATATGAAAATAGTAGACATCTACATTGAAGGTATCAAGCCCCACTACAGGCCATGGTGGGGCACGGTAGGGGTTTTGAATTAATTAATAGAATCACCACCTCTGGGGCCACCCCCTTTAGTCAAATCCTATACCAACTCTTACTAAAGGACCCTATTAAACTACTACTCAAGTGCTACTGAACTCAGTTCAAGTGTGTAAAATTTGTAATTTTCAAAACTAACTTGGTCTTACTAGCAAAGTCTTCCAACAGGCCTTCTTGAAGCAAAATCCCTACTCTGGGGCCATCTCAGAGTGACGAACCCCTTATTAAATCCCACTATATTCCCCATCATGGTACTGAGGCTTAGAATTGACAGGCGCATTACTTACATGTACAGTTCTGACATCACTGAGTGAATAGGATGGAATGAAAGAAATGACTATAACTCAGGATCTTCAAGAAGCCCATTGTCTCACACACATAACAAGAAGATACATCCTACATGACAGTCATAGTATAAAAGACATAATTTATGACAGTCTGAAAGTAAAAATACCTAATGCAAGTTTCTTTTAGTCCAATCAATGACCCAACTCACGCAAACAAGTACCCAAACAACCTGAAGCCACAAAGACAGCACTAAAAATATGAAAAACACTCAGTTACTGGCAGCCATTTTGTCAATGAGGGCAATTTTTGGGAATAAATCCCGAATAATGTGGCAGTGGAAGGTGCTTAAATTCACAGTATGACAACTTCTTAAAAGCTACTTTAGCATTAGAGGAAGAGGAGTATTCAACCAGAGCTGATATACCAGCAGGAGGTAGAATGATACGAGACAGAGAACCAAAGGGTCCAAATAATTCAGTTAATTCTTCAGTGCTGGTACCAAACGGGAGATTCTTCACTAATATAACATTTTTGCTTCTTCTTGTAACCTCATCTTTGTCAGTATCAAACGAGTTAAGCTTCACACTGTGTGATTCTAGAAACTCTCTGGTTTCATTGACAAGTTTTGTTTCGCCAAGAGCTAATCTAACAGCCAGTGACTGAGTTGTATGAAGATCCAATAGTTCACTCTTTCTCACACCAAACTGATCAGCAATGGAATCAGCAACAGCATTAGATCCTACAAACAGAGCATTCCAATTATGCAAGCTCCGAGCCTCTGCTTTCAATTTTTCTTTTTGTTTCAACTTAAATGATGACAACTGTGTTTCAGAACCACTACTCTTGACCACACTTGCTTCCTTATTTGGAGGTTTCGAGGGCAGCAAGTGTAAGAAATACTTTACCGTCTAATTCTGAGAATGCTTTGACAGCACGTTCAGGGAACATGAATGTTACATATCCCAGACCAATGGAGGATCCAGTGCTCTTATCAACCAGTAAATTAATCTCAGATAACTGACCATACTCTTCAAATAACTCAGTCAGTTCCTCTTCAGTAGTTGAATATGGAAGATTACGAATCAACAGTCGACCTGAGTCTGCTATTGACTCCACAGTCTCCTCATCTTCCTTCTCTTCCCAGGGCCTTTCATTCTTCTCTTTAACAATCTTCTCTTTTGACGCAGTGTCCACCAGTAGCCCTATAAATTGTCTACCCATCCTTCCTTTATTTCTCTTCATTGCTTCTTTCAAGTCAGTCTCACTCATTACATCAACAAAGGCCAGTCCACTGCACTTCTCCCTATCATCTTTCAGTAGTCTGATGTTTGATAGTTGGATTGGAGAGAAGAACTTGTGGACATGTTTCTCTGATGCATCATAAGGGAGGCCTCTCATACTAATGGTGTGGAAGAGAGGTGGGGTGGCTCACTCTCTTCCTCTCTCTTCTTCTTCTCTTGTTTCATCTGTTACATGTTTGACAACATTTGATTTAAGAAACTCTAGATCAGAGATTGAGGAAGGAACTCATTCTACTACAATAAAAAGAATACACAATAAATCACATACATTGTATATTAAGTAAAACATACATGTACATCAATAAGCAGGGTTTCCCATAGGGTTTTGGCATAGTGCTCATGTAGCTTTTTGTAAGTAGTTTATCAAGTTAAGTCAGAAATAGGGCCAAAGACACTATACTATCTATAGTACACGGTATTCAATATAAATCACAAGGAGAGAATTCTCCATTTTCTGATACATATGCATCTCATTGTGTTGCTTGAGCTGAGTCCAATCCAATTTGAACTTCTTAATAAATTTATTAAAGTTACTCAAAAAAGATTTTTCCATTTTTATCTGAATCTGATACATATAAATGTACTTATGTTGTCTAGAAAGTTTGAACTGATACTGATAAGTTCATCTTTGTAGAATTTTTTAATTTGCTCAAAAATTGGGCCAAAGTCTCGTATACTACAGTAGAGGGATTTTGGCCAAATTTTCTCCCATTTTTATAGTACACACATGTACTTACTACTTACATTATGTAGAAAGTTTGAATAAATTCCAATCAAGTTTAGACTTTTACAAAATTTTAAAGTTGCTAAAAAAACTAGTGAAAGTCCACGTCAGAATATTTTTGTCAAAAATTACTAGGAGAAAATTCTTCATTATAATTTTTTCTAATGCACATACATGTCCTTATGTTGTGTATCAACTTTGAGCTGATTCCAATAAAAATTAGATTTTAAAGTTGTTCCAAATGCCAAGATGTACTGTATTGTACTGCTTTCCAGCCCAGAAAGCAAGCTTTTTAGCTCACTTAGTATGCTTTGTGGGAAACCCTGTGCATAAGTAAAGACTTAAATAACCAAAGTAATAATAGTCTCTTACAATTATTGTCTTCATCTTGACTGAATACCACTTCCTTTCTTTTTGTCATTTTCTTATAATCCTCTAAGGTGCCCTTCCCTTCATTTGACGACGTCTCTAAGGAACGCCCACACTCATTAGCAGCAAGAAACTCCATAAAACCAGGCTCTGATTTTAGTTCCTCCAGTTCTTTGACAAGTGATGCTAACTGACTTTGATGAACGTCTTCATTGAGCTTAAGTCCCTTACTCTTCTTCTGTACCTCTTCTTCAATACTTAAGTCTTTAGAGAGCTTCCTCTTTTTTACATAAATCTGATTAGTCAAACTGCCGGTAGAATATCTGCTCCAAGGATGAGGAATGGAAGAGTCCCTAAAAGACTTTGCTTCAATGACTTCAATCTTTGACGTGCCAATATAAGTATTGTTGAAGTACTTAATAGACTTTTGGGCAGAAAATGTATCAGAATAACCAATGAAGGCAAATTTACGGAAGGTGCCCAAACAAGTGTACATCAATTTAACGTCTGTTATCTATAAAAGAGAAATACATGCATCACATGTACATACACAACTATACATGCTATAGCTACTGTGAGTAGTATATTACACATATAGACAACTTGGTGCTAAGTATGTTCATACGCTCATCAACAGTGATCATGGATTTGGGTCTCACACAGTAAAAGCATTAGCATGCATATTTGCAAATATATTCAAAATAATTTGCGTCAATGTTTTAATTACCTGACTACATATAGAGAAATATTCTTTTATTTTAGTTTGTGATGTTTTGGGAAGGTTCTTCACCAGGATTCTGGATTTCTGGACATCTTGGTTCTTGAATAAAGTACACTTGAACAAGTGGTGAGTTTGAGCACGTGGGCGCACGTGGGTGTGTTCTCAGGGCGTGGTTTGTCATAAGAGACCGCACCCATATTCAATGCTGCAGAACCTAGCTGTGCTAGGATGAAAGATTATAGAAAATATTTTAAGTACAATATTATATGCAGACTCTTCTTTTGGTAAGACAAAAATTCTATCCTTTTTATTATGTCTTTTTAATAGCTGGGTTGATCCTTTGCTATGGGTTGGTTGTCGCAGAAGTCTGGCTCATTCTGACCTGTATCCTCATCCTTTTGAATGTGACTCATTGTATCTACATGAGAAATTCAATGGGTAAGTTACAAATTTTAGCTAACTAGGCTAGGAGGGAGGTGTGGGCAAGGACTTTTTAAGGGGCGCACTGGCACCCATTGTTGACCAAGATACCGTATAGCTTGAAATTTTTGTAGAATATAAATTTCGTGGTTCTGGGCAGCCCATGAAATTTAAACCCATGAAATCATTGAAGTCCCATCCCCTTACAGGCTATGTAAACTGTCAACTACAAATTTAAACCACGAATTGCCCCACTAGGAGCAAACCACGAATATATCGACATAAAAAAATTTCAAGCTATACGGTACACCCACTAACTGAGTCAATCTGTCAATGAAATAATAATAAATGCACCCATTATCCTAGAGTAGCCTGTTGGCCCTGCACTCATGCAGCCACAGCTTTCTGATGCCCCTGGTTGGAACCAGTCTCACATAGCGAGACTCAGAGGGTGGGTTTGGCTACACGAGACTAGGTTTGAGCTGGGAAACTTTTATTAGTAATTTCTTTTTGCTATTTTACTGATAGATACTGGTCAAACGAGCTATCAACTAGAGGCTCAGCTAATGTAAGGCTGTGGTGGGTGATACTGAAGTGTTTTTGGTGGAGATCATTACTAATTCAATTCCTAGCATTACTACTGGTAAGTTTATTATATCCTATAGCTGAAACTGTACTGCAACTTATATGATGATAATTGGTGTTGTCTTTACAATTCTCCAGTATTCACTCTCCCTCCTTTCGATCATCTTGATTTTATTAATAAGTAGCTGTATTTATGGTACAATCAGAGACATTGGGTTTATTAACTGATTATTTCTCTCTTGAGACTCCTACACCAGAGGATACTAATAATGTATATATTTATGCTGCTCTCCTTATATTAATGTCTGCCTTTCTGATCCTTCTTAATCTGGTGTTTTATGTTGGTCGTAAATTTGGAGGAATGGTCCGGATTCTTCTAACCAATGCCATTTATTTTAAAGTAATTTTGTGTATTGTTACTTTTTTTTGCTAATCAGGTATTATCCTTAAGTCAGTGCACATTGAGTCATGTGACTATGGGCCATGTGATAAATATAGCTTCAAATGATGTCCATCGCTTTGATGAAGTTAGATAAATTTTATGATATTTTGTGTTACATCCTTTTTGTTGCTTTTTTAGTGCATATTATACTTTCCGTTCTTTTTGGTATTTCCCATTCATTTATTTGTGGTGCTATATCTTTTATATTTAAAAGTACAGTGGAGTTCCATGATCATTGTTGGAGTGATACTAGTATCACTGCCAGTATTAATCTCTTTATCTGTTATTTACTCAATATTTAGGTTTGTCAATAACTTGCTTTGTTTTGTCTTTTTGTTACATTCTTCTTTTTATGCATCAAGTACATGTAGTATTATTAGTACACAATAAATGTAAGTGTTGTATCAATTTCTAGCAAGTTTGTATTGGCACTGATTATCTAGAATTGCGTATATAACTATTACTGTGATGATGTTAGGTTTAAAGCAGCTAAAGTTACTGATAGAAGAGTCAAAGTTATGAATGAGATAATCAGTGGACTTAGAGTCATTGAAGTATATGGATGGGAATATGCTTTTAGTCAACTGGTCTGTAAAATAAGAAGGTACACATAACTATTACAGTGATAACAACTTGAGCTTTTTTGTAGGGAGGAAGTGTGGGATGTATTTAAAGGCATTATTGTAAAGCAGTTGAGTGTTGCTTATGCTACCAGAATCCACAACTTGTTAATATATGTATTGCTCTCTGTATTTTTACTGACTGGAGGTGACTTAACTCCTGGGATTGTGTACAGTGTCTTTGCTCACACCATCTTTCTCCGCTTTACATTTAGTTATTTTTCACAGGCACTTCTGTATCTGCTTGAATCACGGGTTGGATACAAGAGAATTAAAGTAATTATTGGTTATTAATTTTATTACATTTGTAATTAATTATAGTCATAGCTGGGTTTCCCACAAGCATTCGATGTCAGCTAAAAGGCATGCTTCATGAGCTGACATATAAAGCACTTTATAAAAAATCATAAAAAATCCCAATTTGATTAGAATGAGCTCTAACCTTCTACACAACATAAAAACATGCATATATATCAGAAAATTATAGCAACATAAAATTTTTTTCTAGTCGTTTTTGGCACTTTGGATGTAGTACTACATGTATTTATATACATGCAAGTATTGAGCCAGATTTTTTGAGCACAAAAGTTCAATTATGACTAGAATAAGCTTAAACTTTGTACACAACATAACGACATATACATGCATAGAAAATCTAGCTGTTTTTGGCAAAGAGTACATGCATTTGGTCCAATTTTTGAGCAACTCTTAAAATTTTTTTAAATATTTTATTTTAGTCAAAATAAACTTGCACTTTGTACACAATATAAGGACATATATTCGTATCAAAAAAGGTTTAATGGAGAATTTTTTCCCAGTCATTTTTGACAAAATTTGGCCAAATATCCTGTATTTTTACTACAGTGCATGGTATTTGGCTCAATTTTAGAGTAACTTAATTATGATCACATTGAGCAGAAGGAGCTCAGACTTTTTACCCAACATAAAAACACGTATATGCATCAGAGAAGGAAATTAAAATCCTTGTCATGCTTAATAAAGTTTGACAAAATACCATTACGGGATATTTGCAACTTTTAAAATCCACTGACAAGAAGCTAAACACTATGCCGAATCCTAGCTGTGAGAAATCCTGAGTCATGGGTAATACTAATAGTAAAAACTTAACTTATATTGAGCATTAGTTGCCGCATCCCTCGGTGAAGTCTATTCTGTAAATCTCTATCAAATTTCAGCTGCTTCAAAATTTTGCCTATTACTTTTAAATGTGACTGACCCCATGTCTGTATTCTGTAACAAATAATAGGTCTTTTTGTTACTACCAGAGTTAGAGGCATTCAGGAATCAATGTACACTTTAAGCTACATGTACGTTATAATGATTGCCATGTTATTTTTATAAATGAAAAATAAATATGGTGATTTTCTACTTACAGTGCCTTTAAGCACTGATGTTAATGCTAATGGAATCACAGTGATGGCATCATGGTCCATGAGTCTTGATGATACAACGTTACAAAATATCTATTTAATATTGATCAGGTTCTTAACATCTACATGTGTTACACTTTCATTAAAATGCTTATACTGAATTATTTGTAATAGAGGTTTTGTTAATTGCTGCTATTTTTTGTATGTAGCCATTGCTAGCTGTTGTAGGAGCAGTTGGATCTGGAAAAGTATGATATTAATACATGCATTTATGGTTTTTTATTGTATTTCTTACATAGTCCTCATTGCTGCAGCCTGCAGTGTTTATTGAAGGAGCTACCAGTTTTAAGTGTTACAGTATCAATGAGAGGAACAGTGGCATATGATAATCAAGAGGTGTGTGTATTCTCAACCAGTTTTAGAGAGAATATACTGTTTGGTTTACCATATGAAGAGGAATGGTATAGGACTGTTGTGCATGCTTGTGCTCTTGAAAAGGTAGCATTCATTTTTTATTAACGTTATTAGCCTCACCCATGCTTTACGTAGGCGTAGGACTAGGTTATTATTTTGTTATATGACATATCATTATAGGAGAATGGTGATATCATGACACTAGTGGGAGAGAGAGAAATAATACTCAGTGGGGGTGAAAAGGCTCGAATCAATCTAGCAAGAGCTGTCTATAGAAAAGCTGACATATGCTTGCTCGATGATCCTTTAAGTGCTGTAGACTCTGCTGTCAGTAGACATTATATTTGAAAAGTAAGCAATGTGCATTAATGATGCATGGCAACATGTATGTAATTCAAAGGTGAGTTTGTGAACTGTTAGCAGAAAAGTGTGTAGTGTTAGTACCATATAGCGGAAAATTTTTGAGGATAAAAAATTTTGCAGATTTTTTCATGATTTGCGAAATTAAATTCCTTGAAATCAATTTAATATGGTACAAGATGGCAGATTAGTGGAAATTTGCGAAAATTAATTCCGCAAACTTCTGGATATGGGTCATTCGTGAAATTCATTATCCTCGAAAAAAAACCGCTATACGGTATCACATCAGACTCAATATCTTGAGCAATATCACTCTGTATTAAGACTAGTAAAGGTTAGCAATAGTGTAAACCATAATGAGTGTTATACTGTAGGGTAAAACTATACCATGTGAATTGAGTAAATATTATATTGCTATAGGTTTTATTATTGAGTGTTTTTTCAGTTCAATTTACAAAAAGAGATTTGCCTGATGAAGTATGATATAGTGGCATTTTCATTTTCACTTGTATTTTGTATTCGTATTTGTATTTGTACTTCAATGTATTGATTACCTGACCACATTTAGAGAATTGCTCCTTAATTTTATTGCTTGTTGCTTTGCTGAAAAGATTTTTCACAATGACTCTAGACATTTTAAATGAACAGTTTGAATACATGGTGGATTGATAGTCTCATGAGACTATGATGGAGATATGCAGCCACTTGATGCAGCATATCTATGTTCAGACCAGGTCCTCACCATGCTATCTGTCTCAATCTCTAACTTAATCTACTGCTTTTCTTCCACTACAGTACAGTGGTACTCTCCTTATACATGTACAAGGAGGCAAAAATTTCAAGAAGAAGGGAGCTAACAAAAAATGAACAGAAAACTCAAAATAAAAATAATTATTAATTTTTATCGATATTCACTATTGGTAGTAGTTTGTGTGGTTGTTCTTTTCTGTGTCTATCAATCAATATCTTCTTTTTATTTTTAAGAGTATTCACCAGGAGATGAGGAGCAGTGATTCCAGCTTTAATCTCAATATATTCAAGCGATGGATGAATGTAGATAGTTTCATATGTATGTTGTACTAGTTCTATCCAGTTAGGTTGAGATGAATCATAATTAATATCTCTACACACTATCCTCAGTAGTTTGATGGTTGTATGTGACTGTAACATGTTAGTAACAGCAGGTAGTACCTGGTTCATAAAACAACGGTGTCATTATTTGTTTCTTCTCTGCCCCACTACAGTTACTGCATGACTGATCTAGTGTGAAGTTCACTTTAAGTTCTGTGAGATTGTTCTTTCGAGAGATAACATTAATAAAAGTTTTTAATATCTCTTCATTCAGTGAAATGGATACACTCAGCTGCTGTAGACTGGTGTTGTGTCTGAGACCAGTTGTTAGGAACGACAGGAATGAACTGGGAACATCTATGTCATTATTAATCTCAAGGTATTTCAGCATTTGGTTGTGTGTGAGCATGTCTTGTAGACTGTTACATACCATCACAACACTCAAAGCTGTCAGTAGATCTTGCATTAACATTTTAAGAATAAGAGGAGATGAAGAGCTACCTATATCAATACTGCTGGTGCCTTCCTCCTCCAGACTAATGTGGCTGGTGTATACTCGGCTATCCTCCTTTATCTTCACACTCAGAGCTTTAAGTGTAGTATTGGTTTTTAGAATAGTAAATAATTCAATAGCACTATCAGCTGTGTCTAGTGGTAAAGAAAGTGTCTGTAGACTGGGATGAGAGAGAAATAGAAGATGTGGTGAGTATGGATCATGTAGTATCAGACAGTGTAATCCTTTTATATGTGGAAGGAGTGATGATGTCATCAGTTTACTACTCTTCCATTCTCTTATCCCTAGAGCAGTCAGTGGTGTGTTCACCTCTACTATATTCAGTGTTGATAGTAGGAGTTCATATGGTATGTACAGTGAAAGAGCTTGTAATGTGTTGTTGTCCTTTAGTAACTGCTCTAGTACTCCAGCACATAGAGGAGGAGGAGGAGCAAGAGGATCATGTATTGTTAATGATGTTATTGTTTTATTTCTTGTTACTCCTCTAATGACACTGATAATGGTACTTGTTATTTCATTCCTTCCACTATATTCAATCTTCATTTCTTGTAGTGTTGAATTCATTTCTATACATTTCTCAAGTTCAGTGCACTTGCCTGAGCAGTATGTATTGTCAACTGTTGGTATAGTAGGATTATCCATTAATAAGTGCAATATCTTCAATTGAGGAAGATACAAAAAACTGTAACAATACAAGACAGGGAACATATTGACCTTTGTATAATTCACAGTAGCACTCCTGAATATTGTATAGAAGTGATGATTGTAATAATTTGTGCATTAATTCATCAGTAACTTCATCCAACCATGCCTCCAGTCTCATACACTGGTTCTGTAGTGAGTTATTAGTGGTTAGGTTAGCAGTGAAGACTGATAGTGATTGTTTAGATACAGGCCCCAGGTGCAAGTGATTCCATGTTGTATTGGAATAGTTTACACAATAACTGAGACACAACCAGTCAAACGATGATAATGATACTTTATAGCTACTACACATATTTAGACACAGTGAGCGGTTGTTGATTGATTGTGCTAATACTTGACATAATGTTGTGTTCTGTGATTCATACAGGAGTTGAAGAAGAATGAGAACATCATCAAAATCATCAGAATTGATATGATCAAATTGTCCAATCTTAGGGTTTTGATAGAAGTAGGAAAGATGACAGGTCTCAAATCCAGACAATGGTTCTCTCTCACACTGTAAGTCAAGTTGTTGTTTATTAAAATACTGTTGATAGCTCTCATGTTCAAGGTGAGTTAGACCTGCCACAAACCTCAGACACATTCGAAAATGATCATCATCAAAGTGATCTTTAAACATTTCCTCTGTCTTATGCTCATGCTTAGCTATCCACCATGCA